CTACCTACTGTTAGCAGGAATCCACACATAAAGCTGCACTAAGATTGGGAGTTATGGTATGGACTGAAATTCTCAGTTATACAGAAAAGGCATTTGGCTATCTGCTTTGGACTGAAAACACCTCTTTTTAGAGACGACTGGGCGGTTAGGAGCAAGACCTGCAAATATGAAGTAGTTAAAATAATTTCCTTTTTAACTGCCACTTCGCAGCCTTTTCCTCTGACTTTGAGAAAAGCTTTGAGCTTTCTCTGTCCACAGAACTCTAAAACAGGCCAAGTTGTGTTCTTTATTAGGGAAACAAGGCAATTCCTAGTATTCTTGCTATGATGTTTGCTCAGGGGAAGCAGAGAGAAGATGAAATCACTTTCTGAGAAGCAGCTGGCTTAGCACGGGCAGGGACAATGTCAGAATTTGATTTCTTTTGCTAAATTACGCAGCAGTGAGTCCCCTGGTCTGCTTCTCTCCCATCCCTCTGTGCTCCTGGCAATCTGCTGAGACACACGTGTGGCAGGTTTGGGCTTTTAAACCTGTGCCTTAAATGTGCAAATAGTTCCCTAGCTTGCAGAAAGTTTATTGGAATCAGGTCCTCAGTCTCCTCGGGAAAGCCACTGCAAGTATCTCCCTTCGGAAGCTTACTACAGAACACGGCTATGAACTAAAGAGGCTCGTTCCTCCCCCCACCCCACCCCCCCGAAAACGGAATGTTCTCCAAAAGATTGACATTTTTAGATTTAAAATTCTCATGTTTAGGCTGAAATTACAAGCTAATAACAACAATCATGTCATTAAGTCTGGATGAAAGGTTTTGATCATGGGGAAAGTACATTCCAACACAGTTCAAAATAAAATTCTCAAAGGTTTGAGCTCCTCCATCTCACATTCCACCTCTTCTCCCTCTCCCTGTGCTTCTGCAGAAACACAGGAAAGAAAGAGCTGAAAAAGGCAAGGGAGAAAAAATAATTTTCTCTCCAAAATGCAAGCAGTTACACAGTTCAGTTGTAAAAAGAAACTTATTTTCTGCACAAAATACAATTTGCTCTTTTCAACAGGCTCCAGCTGTGGTAGGCTGAGAGTAAAGGTGTAACACATGAAGGCAAACATGGCTTATATTTTAGGAATTTCCATGATTTTTATGGATTGCACTGATGAGAAATGCATTTGTGCACTCTGAACTGCCAGTAACATTTTTGTTGTGGGATATACTTTGAATAATTCCTTTGCAAAAAGCACGGCCATATAGTCATTAGAAATGCAAAGTCGTTCTGGAAGACCCAAGCTTCTAAATGAATGGTATTTCAATAAATAAAGGTGGTATAAATTCAACATACTGATTCTCCAATTCATCATCCTCTAAGCTAAAATATATCATTCCTCTCTAATTTCAATTCCCAGCCATGCCGTCCTCTTAATCTTAATTATAAATAGTCTGCCACTTATCAAATCATTCTCTGTGTACCGCACAATCCTCACCCTTAATTGCACAAATATTTTATTTTTGGAACAACACAGCTCAGCAACAAGCTTCATTTTTCTTTTCACGACTCAGTCTCTATTAAAGTAAAGCGTTTATAAAAGCTCTGGGCGCATGGAGAGAAAATTAGTTGCTCCTCCGTGGCTAACAGTTTTTAGCTAATCACAATGCAGCTCCACATCACTCCGAGCAGAGCAGTGATTAACACTGCGCCTGCAACAAAGCAACATTGTGCATAGCGATGACGTGCTCCAGTCAAAAACGTCTCCCCTCTCGTTATGATTGGTATTCCCCAGATGTTTGACTTTGAGCTCTCGCTTGGCAGGCGAGGCTTTGTGGCTGCAATTCAAGTCCCAGGCTTGAGCAGCTCCAGTGTTTATTCTCATAATTTACACTTTGTGATGGCTTATGGACAGTTATGCGCTTGGTTTCGGAGCCACCACTTCAAACCGAGGGCCTGATCCTGCCTTTACGGAGTTAGTGGTAAATGCTTCCCAATTCCAGCACTGGCAGGAGGCCCCAGATGACTAAACCACCTCTCAAAGCAAACAAGCCAATATAAAAGAACAATTTGGTTTAAAAACAATTAAAAAAATGCCTGAAATCTTACTTACTAGGAAGTCTTCTTCACAGTACACCTTGCCATTGACGTTGTAGAACGCTTTTCCTCGTAGTCTTCTCCCTGTTAAAATAGGGCACCGTCAGAATTTTGTGCTCCGTCCCCAAACCCGGCTGTTCAGGGCGCAGAGGGAGACGCAGGGTCTGTCCCCGCGGCCAGCTCCTGGGCCTGCTCCCCCCGGGGACACGGGCTGGGGGGGAGGCGCTCGGCTCCATCCTGCGCTAACAAATTCTTCATCAACTAAACACCACTTCTAAGTGCAGGGTATGGGACCCAGCTTATACCAGCTCCTGGAAAATTTGAAATCTAAACCCAAAAGTGATTATTCTGGGGGGGAAGGCTCATTTGTAAATTGAGACAATTTTCTTCGCAGGTGAAGTCACAGCAGGCGTCCACTCACTGCAATGAGCACCAGGACCAAGCAAGGGATACTGCGTATGGATGTTCCTGTCACCTTTAAAAATATTAATACGTTGCTCAATGCCACAGCAGCTACACCCACAGCTCCCTGCGATACTGAAGCGGTACAAGGCACATGTGACTGAAGGAAGGGCACAAAAATCACACTAAAACCAAGAGATTTCATTTTCAAGTTTGAACATTTGCCATTTCTTTAGTGCTTGCGGAACCCTATTGACAAAGCCTGTGATCATTGTTAACCAACGGCTCCCTTTACAGCTAAAAAACGCAGGACAGACTCCGGAGAGTCCTAATAAAAAGCATTAAAACCAGGAATTCAGGAACCGCTGAGCACAACCAGTTTTTAGGTACAGCAGATCAGATCTGCCTTACACCAGAGCGGCTCCACCGAACACACCACCATTTTATCAGTGTAAAACCAGAGAGGGAGAAGGGAAACCGCTCTCGCCCCGACTCACCTGATTTCCACTCTGTGCCAATGTCCCGCTGGCCAAAGCTCCCAACACTGGGGCACTCCCTCCAGCCGCCCGCAGCCTCGGCGAGCCGAGGGCACGCTGCCTGCTAGGGGCTGCGCGCCGGCCGCCGTCAGCAGAGACACGCGGTGAGGAAGAGGGCGAGAGGCTCTGCATTCACCGGTCGGCACACCAGCCCTCCCAGGTCCCGGACGGAGCTTTTACTCCACAAACCGTGGCCATCTCCTGCCCAGGCAGAGCAGTAGCTCCACCATAAACACCGCCGATCTCTGCGGAGGGTTTGACTGCGAGGGCCAGCGAGCTGAGCCAGCTGGCCAAGCACGGAGGGGCAGGAGCGCTCACCACGGTTTCCATAAACAATGTTGGGGAAAATATGATTAATTTTTCAGTGCTTGAAAGTGCCTTTTACACGTTGCCACTGTGATCCGATCCTGGGAAACAGTGTGTGGCACAAAGAAGTTGGGATCTGGGCTGATGCTTTTGGGAAATCACATGCTGCATGTGGTTGTCTGGCGGTTTTACTGTCGTGGCCGAGGGAAATGCTTCTTTTGTGTGCACATTCTTGGGCTGTCGATCTCACGGGCTGCTGTCTCCATACTGCTGGTAGGTGGAGTCAGCTCTTGTTTGTCTTTCTAGCTGCCTGGTAGCTCTGGTGGGGACCAGGAGCCCGGTGGGCTGGGCAATGCACTGAGAGTGTCCCATCACCTCTGAGACTCTCGGTGAAACTGGTCCAACCGACACACCACCGAAACAAGGCAGGGGGCCGGGACGGCAATCAGGGGGTCCCAGGGCCTCTCTCAGCTGATGCGGGAGCAGCCACCTCTAGATCTTCCCTCCTGCTTATCCAAACTGGTTTTAAACCTCTCTGGTGAAAGGTAAGGGAAAGGTAAATGGAAGAGAGGGAAGAGAAGGAAAGAAGCCAGAATGGCTTTTTAAAGGACACGTTGGCTCTGCCAGACCCAGCCTTAATAACACACGACTTGTCTTCAGATGGAGGAAATGCAAGTGGCTGCACCCAGAATGGGGACTTGCCTTGGATGTGCTGATGCAGCACTTCCACCTTGCTCACACACACCGCCGGTGCAGAGCCGGGGCGCTGGTTTCAGGTGGAGAAACGCTGGCCATCGCCCTCTCCACACACCCATCATGGTTAGAAGCAGCAGAGATAATTAGGGACAAATCCCAAACTCCGTTGCTGGAAGGATGCCTGCAGGAAAGGAATGCCCTAATTCGGGGAGGCGTCACCATCTCCTGAGGCACTGCAGAAGGTGCATGAGGACCTGCACATCCCGCTTTGCATCCCAGTGTGTGCAGCCTGGCACTGCTCAGCTTGACGGGAACGCCCCAAATTCTGCTCCTGTTGTTGCCTGAGCACAGCAGCACCGGCAGAAGCCAACGGGGCCAGAGCTCTCCCGCACTGGGAAGGAGAGGGACGCCTACGGCCCAAAGCAAACAAGGCAAACCCCATGTTTTGGACCCGCTCTCAAAGACACTTGAGTTATCAGATGCATTTGGCAGCTGATTGCCCTGCGACACGACACCCCCTCACCTCACCCCTGCGCAGCCTGCGAGCCCCCACTCACTGCACCCACCCGCTCTGCGGCACCCCGCACCCGCAGGCAGACGGACCCCCGGCGATACCGCCGATGTGGCAAAAATATCTCTTTTACACACCACTCTCAGAGCAATGCCCTTCAAAACTGAGAAAAAACACCATTTTCCCCATTTTACAGCTGAAAAAACCAAGCTGCCTGTTAGGGAAACAACTTGCCTAAACTCATAAAGCAAGCAAGCAGCTTGCTCACATGATAATTACTATTATTAGCAATAATTAATAAGATAGACAGGCCCTTTACCTTAGAGTAATTTCATTCAGGGATCATACAATAATTATCTCGTAAACAAGAAACAGCAAGTTATCACACAAATAGCTGTGGCTGCGCTACATTGGCTTCTACGTGCTGCGCTTTAGAAATAAAGGCAACAACATACGTTCCGTTTGCCCTCCAGAAGAGTCTGGTAAATGACGGCACTGAACACAGTCAACCACACCTCTGCGAGTGCCTGGGCATCACGCGAAAACTGCTGTCAAGTGGGAAGCGCTGGCGGTTGCAGGCAGGCGGACGTGAAGCCCGCGGAGATGATGTGGTGTTGGTGCCCTCAGCCCCACGGCAGCCGTGTACTGCCCCACGCTCCATCCACGGTCAAGGCGGTTTCACCTTGCGAGGTCCCGGAGTAACGCGAGGGCCCGCGCAGCACCAGCCTGCTCTGTGTAGCTCTATTATTGCCCATCAGGCAGAGATTACAAGTTAAAAAACCCTCACATTGCTTGAGCCGGCCGAGTCGAACGCCTGAGCAGCCGGAGGAGGCAACAGCATCCCGCCCACCGGTACCCAGAACCTGCTGCTTGGCTTTCCTTTGAATGGCTGAGTGTAGCCAAGCCCGGGTTACTATTTGCTTTCATAACATTGAAACAAAAAAGTCAAGAGTTTCTGACAAAACTTGACACAACTTGCCGATAGCTCATTATAATAATAATGAGCAGTTATAATGAGCAGCCGAGCACCGAGTTCAGGAGGACGGGGTTTCACAAACGCCGTGTTGCTGGATACCCACCTTGGCACGGCCGCCCGGCCAGACCAGTTTTCTGCGGCGGGGAGGAAGAGGCCAATTCCCACCGGACCAGGAGAGCAGCGCGGCGGCCCGGACCATGCTGGGGACCACGGGATGGGGCAGGAGCCACCCAGCCTGCAGCCCGCACACAGGCACGTCACGCTGGCTTTTACAGGGAAGCCCTTTTTGCCCCTTTAGAGCTTTGTTTTACTGTAGAAAACAAAGCTTATGCACTCACGGTGACAACAAGCGCTTGTTGCATGTAACTTTTTAGATTTCTGGACTGACACCTGCATGTTTGAGGTGTAGCAAGCGCCAGGATAAGGGGGTTCCACCACCTCAGGCGGGAGGCAGAGACCGCATAAATGCTCCAGCAAAGAGTGCAAAGTTTCACGCAGATAATCTAGCAGTTAATAAAATGCAAGCTAGAAATTACTCTGTCCCAAAGAACGGTTGCAACTGGTGTTTGCAACCAACGTGACAAACATCCAAAAGCAAGCAGGCTTTGGGAACTTTTCAAAAAGATACAAAATCAGAATCGGCTTGAGGTTTTTAACATCAGTTTTCACATTTAACCAGTTTCTGAGTCTCTGGTATGTAAACGTGCCTAGCAATTACTTCCTGCACTACTTTTATCCCTATGTGTGGCAAACCAAAAGCAACGGATGGGAGAGCTGTTGCTTTAGCAAAGGACTCTGCTCAAGGCCTCGGCTTGCAAGAGGGAAAATGGCCCACAGTTGACACAGGCTGTCCACAACTGTCCTCTCCAGACCCCACGACGCTTCGCTGGGGGGTGAAAACACACCAGCCAGGAAGCCAAGATGGGGTAAAACTTTTTCCAACGCTGCTTCAAAAGTTGCTCCAGGCCCTCATGGAACAAAACGTGGATCAGACAGGGTTTTACAGTCTCAAGAAGGTTCTCCGAAAGAGCGCTGAAAACGTCCTGCCCCCTCCTCGCTAGCCCAGAAAGCAGCTTCAAAGCCCCCCCGGCCACTGCTGGCAGCGGGGTATTTGCCCATCGGGAGGTGAGCTTATCAAGTGGCAGCCTTCAGTGGTAGATCTCCCGTCTCACCCGGGGATGATGCAACCACGTCGGGGGCTCACCCCCCCTCGCCTTTGTAAGACAAGAGATAGCGATGTCTCACTGTCACAGCATGGTTATTAGACCTAATTACTGTTTGCAGCCTGCTTTGAAGTTGAAAAGTGCCAAGCATTATTATAATATTTTAAGTACTTTGATGATTAAAAACATGCAACCGTTGGGTAATAATCATGATTTACTAGTAGTGTAGCGTAAGCAAGTTCATGTGAGAAGCCCTGCATTGTCTCAGCGCCTGACGCTACTTAAAACCAAACAGCTCCCCTCTGACATAATGGGAATGCTGCAGCCCCAGCCCCGCCGCCCAGATAACGCCTGGCGCGCACCCGACACCACCAGCGTGCTGAAAAAAACACACCAGCGTACCTCCTCGCCGTCACCACCTCTCTCGTGATGTATGTGCCTCTTCTCGTAACTTCATGCAGGAAAGTTTCAGCATTAGGGGGAACAAAGCGCGA